GCGCCACAGCGAAAATGGATCTTTTAATGCAGAGCATCTGGATTTCCAGGTTACTTAGTTGATTTTATATAAGTAATAGACCCAAATGAAGAGTCAGGATTTACATTCAACTGTCTGACTTCAAAAATTCACCATGGTGTTTTGGCTCGAGGTTCATATTCTACTACTTGGGCCACACCTCCCTCGGTCCCTCCCTCCTTTCATTCCTCTGTTACTAGTGATTTACTCTTTGTCTTCCTTTATGCCAGACAAGCTCACTATAAGTAAGCTACACCTCCAGTTTTTTTAAAAATTGCAAATAAAGTAAGCTAGGTACTAGTGGTTCACACCTGTAATCCTAGATACTCAGGAGACTGAGATCTGAGGATCTCAGTTCAAAGTAGGCCCAGGCTAGAACAACCATGAGACAAATCTCCAAATAATAACCAAAAAAAGGCACAAGTAGAGCTGTGGCTCAAGTGGTAGAGTATTAGCCTTGAGCAAAAAACTCAGAGATAGGGCCAGGCATTAAAAAAAAAATGTAATTAGAAACTGGATGTTGCTCAGTTGCCCAGGGTAGAACTCTTGATCTTACTATCCTGAATAGCTGGGATTATAAATACATTAGTATCTATCTAAAGAGAGGAGACACACCCATTTCCTCACTTCATTGGCACAAGTGTGTTAGAGCTAAGTACTAGTGGCATACACCTGTAATCCTAGTTATTCAGGAAGCTGAGATCTGAGGACTGAAGCTCCAAGCCAGCCAAGCAAATGAATCTACAAAATGGCAAAGTGTTATGAAACAGATAAAATAGCAAGTTAATAGGGAAGCTTTTACTACCCCATGCATCCTGACTTCTAGTTATTTTTTTCTTTCTGTCTTGACTCAAAGTCCACATGCACTATATCATTTTTGTTTTAAGTATCCATGGAACTAGGACTAGCTAAATAGTGGGATGAACTATGCCACTGGTCTAAGTTTCTGACTTCACCCATTTTTATCTCATGCTTGGAGTCTTCCTCCTGTATTTAAGACAGTAGATAGAACTTAGTAACTTGAAGGGATGGGTGGAATTGAGATAGATAGGTAATAAAAGGATGACACTGATTGAGAATTGACTTGTTGAACTGAAATCCTTCTTTACAATTTAAACAATACAAAAAGGTAAATCTAGAAAAAAAGAGATAGATGTAGGGCTGGGAAATTGGCTCAATGGTAGAGTGATTGCCTCACATGCATGAGGCCCTGGGTTCCTTAGCTCAGTACCACATAAGTAGGAAAAAAAAGCCGGAAGTGATGCTATGTCTCAAGTGGTAGAGCGCTAGCTTTGAGCTGAAGAGCTGAGGGACAGCTCAGGCCTAGAGTTCAGGCCAAAATAAAATAAAATAAAATAAATGAATAAAAAATAAAAAAGAGATAGATATAGAAAATGACTATTATTAGCCAAAACAACTGAAATAGTAGAAAATAAAGCTTGGAGTTTTGGTAGCAACGTCTTTTGGAAAACTGTGCCAAGGGGTCAGTTTAACATTTATTTTCTTTTGTTTCAGGCTGAAGGTGAAAACTACTGAGGAAGACCTGGATGTTCTGCACCCTGTGTATCAGCCCAGAAATAGCCCTATAAAGGGGTCTGCATCTGTGGATCCCTTAAAAATCAAATGGGCTTTAATTTGGACATTCTCAATAGGAAGGGTTTAACAATTAACTTTATAGTCAGGTACTTTGATCAAGGTATACTACCTTAGGGTCTTTGCATTATACAATGTCCTTTTTTCCCTCCCCCACCAACCCCACTAAGCTTTTGGCTTTGGGTGGTTAATTAGAGATAAGAATCTCAGACTTGGGCTGGGAAGGTGGCTCAGTGGTAGAGCGCTTGGCTTGCATGCATGAGGCCCTGGGTTCAATTCCTCAGCACCACATAAGCAAAAAGAAAAAGGCCGGAAGTGGCGCTGTGGCTCAAGTGGTAGAGTGCTAGCCTTGAGCTGAAGAGCTGAGGGACAGCGCCCAGGCCCAGAGTTCAGGCCCCAGGACGAGACCCAAAAAAAAAAAGCAACTGAGACTTTGGGCTGGAAAGGTGGCTCAGTGGTAGAGTGCTTGCCTTGCATGTATGAGGCCCTGGGTTCGATTCCTTAGCACCACATAAGCAAAAAGAAAAAAGCCGGAAGTGGCACTGTGGCTCGAGTGGTAGAGCGCTAGCCTTGAGCTGAAGAGCTGAGGGACAGCGCCCAGACCCAGAGTTCAGGCCCCACGACCGAACCCCCCCCAAAAAAAAAATAGTTATGATTGACAGATAGTACATGTTTTAAAGAAATTCTTTTGTTAGCTTTTTTTTTTTTTTTCTGTGAAGGTATTATATTTGTACTGTATGAGAGCATGTTGCTTTGAGCAATTAAAATATGGTGTGACTGAGGAGTTTGAAGTTTTAATGGCTATATGTAGTGAGCAGTTATTAGCAGGCAGCTATAGACTCTAGGGCTTGAATTTGGGGTCTGAGCACTGTCCCTTAGTACTTGCTAAAGGCTAGCGTTTTACCACTTGAGCCAAGCTCCACTTCTGGCTTTTTGGTCATTAATTGGGGATAAGAATCTCATGAACTTTTCCCGCCTAGAATCACTTTGAGCCATAATCTTCAGGTTTCAGCCTCCTGAGTAGCTAGAACTATAGGGGATAGGATTAGTGGTTTAAAACCTGCTTTTTTTTCTTCAGGGTGTCTTTTTTGTTAACGTACTGTTTTGTGTGAAAGTGGGTCTCATGTAGCTACACTAGGCTTGAACTCATAATTCACCAGTCTGAGAGCAATCTTCCCTATAAGTAAATTCTTTTCTTTTTAGTTGTTGTTTGTGAGGCCATAACTAAGGGCCTGGACATTGTCCCTGAGCTTTTTTGCCCAAGGCTAGTGCTGTATTACTTTGAGCCACAGAAACACTTCTGGTTTTCTGGCTTGGAGTCTCACAGACTTTCTTGCCTGCACTGGCTTTGAGCTTTGATCCTCAGCCTCTTGAGTAGCTAGGATAACAGGTGTGAGCCACCAGTGCCTGGCTCACTTTTATTTTTTGTGTGGTCAATTGAGATAGGAATCTGTCTCATGGGGACTTTTCTGCCTAGGCTTGCTTGGAACTGTAATCCTCAGATCTTAGCCTTTTTAGTAACTAGGATTACAGGCATGAGCCACTGGTGCCTGGCTCAATACAATGAAACCCAACCCATTCCTTCAATTTCCTTAATTTTATATACACACACAGACACACACACACACATGCACGCACGCATGTATTTTTATGCAATTGAGGATTGCAACTTTATTCTCCAGTTTTACATTTTTTATTTAATATCTTATTGTTATTAAAGTGTAGCACAGAGGGATTACCATATCCAGTTATGGTTTTTTTTTTAATGTCTGCATGGTTTTGAAATGAAACATGGTAAAAATGTAATTGTGATTTTGTAGCTGAGAAGCTTAAATAATCATATATACAAAAAGAAAAAGTATGGTTAGTGATTTAGGTGAAGAAAGATTTAGGAAACAGTATGAAAATCGCTTACATTATTGAACTGCAAGCCCAGTGTGTATTTTACCTACAAATTCAGATTATATTTGGCTCTGGATGAGATAAGAGCTCTTATTGCCATCTTGTGGTCAACTAGGGTTCAAAATTATGTATTTTCCTATCTTAAGCTGTTTCACCAGTAATCCTAGCTGCTAAGAAGACAGGTCAGGAGGTTTCCAGTTTGAGGCCAGCTAGAGCAAAAGGTTAAGGGCTTTCATCTCAACAAATAAATTAGGCCTGAGCCTTACTCCTATAATCCCGTTCATGCAGGTAAGTATAGGTGGGAGGATTGCTTTCGGTCTTAGCACCACCACAGTTAAAAACATGAGACCTTATGGGAAAAACAACTAAAGCAAAAAAGGGTTAGGAGCATGGTTCAATTGATAGGTCCTGAATTCAAATCAAAGTACTGCCTTACTTGCCTCTCTAAAGTTTTGTTATGGCTTTGTTTTTGGAGGGGAAATTAGTTTGTTGTGGCAGAATTACTAAAAGTAAAAGGTTAAAGCAATATTGTCTTAGCAATTAAAATGTTTTAAAAACTTGTTTTGGCTTATCTGGCTTCTTTGCATACTTATTGTGAAATGGTTGACTTATATAGCCTTTTACAGGTTGGATAGCTTTACTGTATAATTTTATTTGATCTTTAAAAATTCCTTAAGCTCGTCACTGGTGACTCATGCCTATAATCCTAGAGGCTGAGATCTGAGGGTTATAATTCAAAACCAGCTTGGGCAGGAAAGTACATGAGGCTTTTATCTCTAATTAACCACCAGAAAACCAGAAGTGGCACTGTGGCTCCAAGTGGTAGATTGCTAGCCTTAAGCAAAAGAGCTCAGGAAGGGCTGGGTAGGTGGCTCAGTAGTAGAGCACTTGCCTTGCATGCCTGAGGCCCTGGGTTTGATTCCTCAGCAACACATAAGCAAAAAGAAAAAAGCCGGAAGTGGCGCTGTGGCTCAAAGTGGTAAAGCGCTAGTCTTGAGCTGAAGAGCTGAGGAACAGTGCCCAGGCCCAGAGTTCAGACCCCATGACCGGACCCCCCCCCCAAAAAAAAATGGTGAGCTTGGGTACTTTAAAAGTCATTGAATTCAAATAATTTTTCTTACTAAATGGAGATTTAAATAAAGGAAAGGCAGTAACTTTACTTTTCTTCATGTTTTGATGTGGAGTATGCTGGTATGAATTATGAATTTTTACCTTTGTATATTTACTTTTTTCCCCCCAGAGATGATACTAGATGGCTGTTTCTGTTATTCAACCTGATTTCTAGAATGAAGTTGACATTCATTTGATATCAGAGGTAATTGTAAGATTATAAAAACACACATTTTGTTTTCCCTTGAAAGGTATGAATCCGCTCAGTGTTAGTGTGGCTGAAATTTTGTAGTTGAGGAAGATCCCAGTTCAATCCTTGCTGTATGTTTTTCTGGTTGACTGAAAAAGAATCAGAGTGTTTGCCCTTATTCATTTCCAGTTTGCCATGATGAAATGCATGTTAGTCCGTGTTTCAGCTGATCTACCTGATGTTAAACACATGTTCTGAGCAGACAAAAGCCAAGGGCAATGATTAAAATTGAATTCAGCTTGTTAGTCTCTGGAGTGTAGCCTGTGGTGACACATAAATCCTATATCTTGGAATTATGAATCTGGCACTATGACCTGGACTTTGCACTTTAATCTTTGGGATAATCTCTGAGACAGCTAAGGTCTAAAATTTTAAGCACTACAAAAAGGAAAAGCCACTAGTAACTGTTCTATCAGTTATTTATGTTGACAGTTTGTATTTTATCAGTCTCTAAGATTACTTATAAATCATAAATGGCTATACTATAGTCAGTTAAAGGTTATGATAGATTTATTGAAATGGACTTTTCATGACATATGAATTTTTTTTTATTGTAAAGATACTATACAGAGGGTTACAGTTACATGAGTGAGGTAATGAGTACACTTCCTCTTGAACATTGTTACCCCCTCCATTGTTTTCCCCCTACCATCCCCTCCCTCCCCCCCTTCCCCGAGGTTCTTTTTTTTTTATTGTGATTAAGTGATTACATAATTTCCGGAATTTCACAGTATTGTGGAATAATGATGCTCATTTAAAGTCACAAGTTCATTCTAACTTTCCTGGAGCAAATTGTCTATCACAGTCTGTAACATATAACGGTGTTCACATGTTATATACCATATATGTGATCAGCAGCATGGGGATATTTAGTAGTGGTTCAACCAGATGAGTGGGAGTTCTTTGTTTCTTAAATCCTGTTAGTGACATATGAATTTAAAAATAGTTTATAGACCAATAATATATTTCTGCCTAAATTATTTTTTTTCCGTTTTTTTTTTTTTTCCTGTCAGCTGTGGGTCTTGTCCTGGGTGCTTTCCCTGAGATCTTCAGCTCAAGGTGAACAGTTTATCAATTGAGCCGAAGCACCATTTCCTGTTTTTCTGGAGGTTAATTGGAGATAAGAGTCTCAGACTTTCTTGTGACATATTTCTTCTTAGTCTCCTAACTTTGGTTTGTTTTTTTTGGGGGGGGGGTCTGGTCGTGGGGCTTGAACTCTGGGCCTGGGCGCTGTCCCTCAGCTCTTCAGCTCAAGGCTAGCACTTGAGCCACAGCGCCACTTCCGGCTTTTTTCTTTTTGCTAATGTGGTGCTGAGGAATCGAACCCAGGGCCTCAGGCATGCAAGGCAAGCGCTCTACCACTGAGCCACTTTCCCAGCCCCTTAGTCTCTTAACTTTATGTCTTAAAATATGATATTATCTGACTTAAGGGGTGATTATTGGAAAGATTGAATTAAAGAAATGTATGGAGTGTAGAATACTATAAAGCATTGTAATGCTGTATAAATGTTAGCTATTTTATTATCAGTTCATGTGTATATTAGATTGTATGGTAATAGGACTATATATCTGTATCTATAGTTTCAATAGCATTTTTTTGAAAAATTTTTTAATTTTATTAATTTTATTTTTTTTGTTGGTCGTGGGGCTTGAACTCTGGGCCTGGGGCGCTGTCCTTGAGCTCTTCAGCTCAATGCCAGCGCTCTACCACTTGAGCCACAGTGCTACTTCCGGCTTCCTAGTGGTTTATTGGAGATAGGAGTCTCATGGTCTTTCCTGCCCGGGCTGGCTTTGAACCTCCATCCTCAGATCTCAGCCCCCTGAGTAGCTAGGTTTAGAGGCGTGAGCCACCGGCGCCCGGCTCAATACCATTTTCTTTTTTTTTTTTCTTTTGGGTCCGGTCGTGGGGCCGGAACCTGGGCCTGGGCGCTGTCCCTCAGCTCTTCAGCTCAAGGCTAGCGCTCTACCACTTGAGCCACAGTGCCACTTCCGGCTTTTTTCTTTTTGCTTATGTGGTGCTGAGAAATTGAACCCAGGGCCTCAGGCATGCAAGGCAAGCGCTTAACCACTGAGCCACCTTCCCAGCCCTCAATTCCATTTTCTTAGTTGATCTTTTTTGACATTAACTTGTTTTTTTTACTAGCTATATCAAATAATCAGTAATGCTGTCTTCTAGTTCTTTATTATTATTATTATTAAATTGTGGTAAGTGGTTACAATTCCATAATTCAGGTTGTAAGTACAATGCTTCTTGGGTAATGTCACCCTTTCCTTCACTTTCTCTTCTAGTTCTTATTTAAGTGTAATGATTCCTATCATAGAAGAGCATTTCTGGTATTTTTATTTTTATAAGTGTTTCTTAAAAATAGGTAAGTTGGAGATAAACTTTGAATGGCTGGTCCTTTCACTGCTTGGAGCTTAGGCAGTGGGGTTTTGGTCCATCGTATACAAAAGTGGCTTGTCTTCACTCAGGGCACCATGAAGACAGGGTGGCTGTCCATTAGGACCTTCTGATTTTTGCAGAGTCAAACAAAAAGCAGGTAGTAATTCTAGATTTTAAATGTACCTTTGAGCTGGTGCTGGTGGCTCAGGCCCTGTAATCCTATAAGAGGCTTAGATCTAAGGATCACAGTTTTAAACCAGCTCAGAAGGAAAGTCTCTGAGATTCTTCTCTCCAATTAACCACCAAAAATCCAGATGTGGAGGTATGGCTCAAGTGGTAAAGTGCTGTCCTTGAGCAAAACCATTCTGGTACAGTGCCCAAGCTCTGGTTTCAAGCCCAGGACTGGCACAAAACAAAACCAAAAAATGTATTTTTAACTGTGTGCTGGTGGCCTAGCTGTAATCCTAGCTACTTAGGGGGGTGAGAGCTGAGGATAGGATCACAGTTTGAGGCCAGCTTGGGCAGGAAAGTCCTTGAGACTTCTCTCACCAAAATGCCAGAGTAGAAGTGTGGCTCTCTGAGAGGTAGAGCACCAATCTTTTTTTTGTTGTTGGTCATGGAGCTTGAACTCTGGACCTGAATGCTGTCCCTCAGCTTTCAGCTCAAAGCTAGCACTCTACAACTTGAACCACACTGCCACTTCTGGTTTTCTGAGTGGTTTATCGGAGATTAGAGTGTCAAAAAAATGGAGCCGGGGCGCTGGTGGCTCACACCTGTAATCCTAGCTACTCAGGAGGCTGAGATTTGAGGGTCGCGGTTCAAAGCCAGCCCGGGCAGGAGAGACTGTGAGACTCCTATCTCCAATAAACCACCAGAAAACCGGAAGTGGCGCTGTAGCTCAAGTGGTAGAGTGCTTGCCTTGAGCTGAAGAGCTGAGGGACAGTGCCCAGGCCCAGAGTTCAAGCCCCACGACCGACAAAAAAAAAAAAAAAAAAAAGGGTCAATGGACTTTCCTGCCTGGGCTGGCTTTGAACCATGATCTTCAGATCATGAGTAGCTAGGATTACTGGCATAAGCCCAGCAAGAGCACCAATCTTGAGAGAAAGTTAAACCAGAGAACAAGGCCCTGAGTTGAAGCCCCAGCACTGGTGGAAAAAAAAGTACTTGAAAAGAAGATTTAATACAGTAATATAATTAGAAAATTCTTTGGTTGTGATAATATTTGAATAGCTCTGGTTTAGGCTATATAAAAGAAAGCTATAGTCAATTGATACTGGGTGTTGCTAAAACATTATACTTTGAATCAAAAATGTTTGTATCATAATGTTTTACTGAATTTTTTTTAGTATATCTCACATTTCAAGGAAGTTTAAAAATAACTTTCTTGGGCTGGGAGTGTGGCTTAGTGGCAGAGGGCTTGCCTAGAATGCATGAAGCCCTGGGTTCTATTCCTTAGCACCATATAAACAGAAAAAAACTGGAAGTGGCACTGTGGTTCAAGTGGTAGAGTCCTAGCCTTGAGCAAAAGAAGCTCAGGAAAAGTGCCCAGGCCCTGAGTTCAAGCCTGAGGCCTGGCAAAAAATAGAAAACAAAAACAAAAACACTCCCAAACTTTCTTTACAACATAAAGGTAGATGATTGTATGTGGCTGGGGAATTAAACATCTGGCAGGCAAGTGCTCTACTATTGAGCTAAGTTGCCAGCCCCAAAATACATGGTAAAGATGAAAGCTAGAAGTGTTTTTACTGAATCACCCTGTAAAATGTAAAAGGTGGCAAGAAAAAGAGTAATATTTTCTATTATTCCTAGATCCTAATATCTGACCCAGAAGAAATACTAAAGAAATCTTCATTGATTCATTTTTTTTTCCGTGATCTAAAAACATTGTTGGAAATAGCAACTGTTTTAATTGCAATACATGAACTAACTGGTACTTGGACTGATAGATAATAATTATATGTGTATGTTAAAGTGAGTACACATAGATCCTCTTAATATGTGATTATGGTGTTTGGTGTTTGATCCTTTAGAGTAAGTGAAGAATGATTGTCAAATCAGCTACATATTGAGAAATATGAAAAAAGTAAGTTGATTTTTAAAATAGAGCCTACAAATTTTCTTTTTTTTTTCTTTTTTTGTTCTGGTCGTGGGGCTTGAACTTTGGGCCTGGGAGCTGTCCCTCAGCTCTTCAGCTCAAGACTAGCGCTCTACCCCTTGAGCCACAGCGCCACTTCTGGCTTTTTTCTTTTTTGCTTATGTGGTGCTGAGGAATTGAACCCAAGGCCTCTGGCATGCAAGGCAAGTGCTCTACCACTGAGCCACCTTCCCAGCCCATATTTTTCTTATGTATAGTTTTATTAATAGATTTTTTTTTCTGTTGCTGAGATTTGAGTACATCTTGTATTTGCTGAAATAGGTGTTCTTACCACCCAACCACATCTCCAGCTTTTTTTTGTTTTGTTTTGTGCCAGTCTTGGGGCTTGAACCCAGGGCATGGGTGCTGTCCTTAGCTTTTTGTTCAAAGATAGCACTCAACTGTTTGGGCCACAGTTGTACTTAAGCCTTTTTGGTAGTCTCCTGGATTTTCCTATGCCAGCTGCCTTTAAATAATGATTCTCAGATCTCAGCCTTCTGAGTAGTTAGGATTACAGGCACTAGTCATTAGTGACAGTTCTAATCCTGAGTTTTCCTGATTACCTTTGAGATAGGGTCTTAATCCTACCTCTATTAGCCTTCCAAGTTTAGCTATAGCAGGCATAGAAGACAGCATCCACTTGGTTGTGAAAGTGTCTAATAATAAGTTTTTCTTCCTAGGCTGGCCTTGAATTTCAGGCCTCCAGATATCAGTCTCCCCAAGAAGGTAGGTTTACTAATGTGAGTCATACATACTTTCCTGCACAATTTTTTTTTTTTTTGTCAGTCGTGGGGGGCTGAACTCTGGGTCTGGGCGCTGGCCTTGCTGGGCACTGTCCCTCAGCTCTTCAGCTCAAGGCTAGTGCCCTACCTACCACTTGAACTACAGTGCCACTTCTGGCTTTTTCTGTTTATGTGATACTGAGGAATCAAACCTAGGGTTTCATGCATGCTAGGTAAGCACTCTACCACTAAGCCACATTCCCAGCCCTATTCAGATTCTTCATGTTAGGTAGGGGTAACTAAATTTATTTATACTTGTACTTACATATATATAATTTTAATTTTAACAAATTCACCTATGTGCTACTGGGACACATCACCAAGAAGAGATTTATATTATAATTAAGATATGACTTGGGTAGGACTACAGTTAGGTATGGAGTTGAAATTTGAATGCTATGCAATCTTTTTAAATTTTCAATGAGATCATGCTTTTTTATACTTAAATATTTCTATATTTGGCATAGTTGAAACCAGAAAATGTACCAAAGACCTAATTAGCCAAAATAATGTGGTAGGAGCACACAGCTTATATATGGACTTACTATGTTACTTGACTGCAACTTGGGACAGTAGCATTAAATTAGTAATAAAATGCTGCTTAAGTAGAGAAGGTTTTTGTTTGAAGGAAAAAAGTTTAATGGATTCACATCTTGCAGAAAAGCTTTGTAGCATGTTATCCATAGTGTGGCTGATGGAATTGGTTACTAATTCATTTAGGGTGACATCCTGAAAATGGAAAGATGGCTCCAAAAGTGAGCATTAAGGTTTGAAACCTGAGTACTCTTCAGCCCCTCTCAGTCACATTTAAGTCTGATCTCATAAGTCTGTATATTTAAAAAATCATTATTGTTAGAGGTAAGCATTAAAAAGCAAAGTGAAGTGGTTTGCCCTGTCTCCTAGCTACTCAGAAAGCTGAAATCTGAGGACTGCAGTTCAAAGCCAGTCCAGGTAGGAAAGTCTGTGAGACTCCAGAAAATTGGAAGTGGAGCTGTGGTTCAAGCGGTAGAATGCTTGTCTTGAGCAAAAGCACTCAAGGACAGTGCATAGGCCCTGAGTTAAGCCCCATAACTGACAAAAAAAAACAGCACAAAATCCAAAAGCAAAGGGATAGGTAAGAACATTAGACTAAAGCAGTATCATTGTTTTAAAGACTATCAGCAAGCCAAATGATATGGCTTTTGCCAGTTTAATGTCAGGGATACTGAGCTAGCTACCGAGGATGCTGGGATCCAGAGAATGACTGTTGGAAACCAGCCTTGGTGGGAGATTCCTAGAGATCCCATCTCCAAAAATAATCAAGAAACACCAGGTCAGGAGCCATGGCTTCAGTCGTGGCACACCAACTGAGTAAGTTTGCAAGCCGAGCAAGCCTGAGGCCCCGAATTCAAGCTTTATTATTTATTTATTTTGTCGGTCATGGGGCTTGAACTCAGGGCCTAGGCACTGTCCCTCAGCTGTTCAGCTCAAGATGAGTGTTTTAACACTTGAGCCACAGCGCCACTTCTGGCTTTTTCTGTGTATGTGGTGCTAAGGAATCGAACCCAGGGTCTAATGCATGCAAGGCAAGCACTCTACCACCGAGCCACCTTCCCAGCCCTGAATTCAGGCTTTAGTACTGCCAAAATCTGGACTCCTGATTACCTCCAAGTATGACCAACAGATCCAAATGACTTTCTTTCAAGCAGTTTCTGAATATTTGTAATGCTGAGTCAAGGAAAAGTTACTGTTTCCAGTGTCACACAATTTCTAGAATTATTCCTGATTACTTACAAAGCCTTTGCTGCCTACCTGCCCACCCTTCATGAACTGTACTCATACTGGCTGCAGCTAGCGGTGAGGCCCCTTGTGAGCCCACGCTCAAGCTTGTGCTCTGTGAGACCCACTCCTACAGGCCTCCTATCCTGTCCTTGTATATCAGATCCCGCGCCTGCGCCTTGTGAGATCCAGCTCCCTCCCAGCTCCCAAACATCCATCTATCCCAGCATATTCGCTACCCAGGAGGCACCACGCGGCTCTGCGCACGCGCTCTGATTCAGTGTCAGAGCAGCCGGGTGGTCACGTGTTAGCAGAGCTCCTGAGGTGGTGTTTGGCTGTAAGTTTTTTCTCTTCTAGCCACATATTTTATTCGTATTGTTGTGCTCATTATTTTATTTGCTGAGTGTGGAGAGCAAGTTGGAATTTTCACAATTTTCTGTGAGTTTATTCTCAAAAATTTGGCCTCCAGGTTGTACGG